AAGGATAAAAAAGGATAAAAGTCTATTTCCATTGCATGCTGTTGTCCAGTGAGTCATGCATGCTGCACAAAAGTGTGTCTGACAGTCTTAGCCAACAAACTGATCACAGTCTGTGACCTATGCCCTTTGCCCTTGTTAACCCCAAGCTGCCAATGCTACTGCCAGCAGTGAGGCTCCAAGCAGATGGGATAGTTTCAGGGAGGGTTTCTCTCTAAACAGCCATGTTGTCACTCAAGCCTGTTCCTTCTCCTGCCTGCCATTTTACTCAGTTTTTGTGGTCACTCTCCTTCATAGACCTGTGCCCTCTAGTGACCTAACATAGGTGTTTGCAATGTTTACCATTGTGTGCTTGTCTAAACTAGCCTAAGTGGTGTTAATGTGGTGACCAGTTACCATAACCTAAAATCATGGCAAAAAATGTTGGCACCTCTGCACTTCTGCCATCACAGATTCTTTGGTTTTCTCATTTCTTTTGTTTGCATTGGAACAACACAAAAAAGCTGAGCAAAAAAAGCCAAATCTGTTACAGTCCACACAGAACTCCAAAAATGAACTGGACAGAATTATTGACACCTTTTCAAAATCATCACAAATAGTTGTATGTCAACCATGTGATTCTCCTTTAATTTGTAATGAAACTCACCTGTAGCAACCAACACGTGCTGGCAATATAGAAATCACACTTGGAACCAGTTATAATGGAGAAACTTTGACTCAACCTTTGTGTCGTGTGGACCACACTGAGCATGGAGAAAAGAAAGAAGAGCAAAGAACTGTCTGAGGATTTGAGAACCACAATAGTGGAAAGGCACAGACAGTCTCAAGGCTCCAAGTCCATCTCCAGAGATCTGGTTGTTCCTGTGTCCAACGTGTACAACACTGTCAAGAAGGTTACAGCCCATGGCACCGTAGCTGATCTCCCTGGACGTGGACAAAAAATTGATGACAGACTGCAACAAAGGACTGTTCAAATGGTGGATAAAGAACCTCGATCAACTTCAAGACAAATTCAAGCTGACCTCCAGGCACAGGGTGCAACAGTGTCAGCTCACACTATCTGTCACCATCTGAATGACAAGGGACGTATGGTAGCACCAGAAATGGTTTCAGACAATGTGCTGGAGAGCTCTGAAGTGGCCAGCAATGAGTCCAGATCCATAAATCCCATAGAGCACCTGTGAGACCTGAAGCAGTTGGCAAAAGAATAGTGGTCCAAAAGGTGGTAACAGGTGTAAGAAACTCATTGATGGTTACAGGAAATGACTGATTTCAGTTATTCTGTCCAAAAGGTGCTACCAAATATTAAGTTGTGAGTGTCAATAATTTTGTCCAGTCTATTGGAGTTCATTTTTTCCTCTTGTGTTGTTCCAATGCAAACAAAAGAAATAAACACGGGAATACCCAAGACTTTGTGAATGCAACAATTTTTGGGGAGAAGCAGTGTGTTATCTGACAGAAATATATGGGGGGCCAGTATTTTTGTCCATGACTGTACATCAATATACACCAAGTAACTAAAACCACACACCTTTACTCACGATCCTGAAGAGGGACTGACCAATCAGTGACAACAAATACCAGCATTGGCAACAAACTTGCCAATCAATGAGTACACATGATTAATGACATAACACTTTCAATTAATACTATGCAGAGGCCTTTTGTAATTCTGACCTCCTAGGTTTCAACTCAGGAAAGCCCGTGCATTAAATGACCAGTGGCCAAAGGACATCTACAAATGGGTTGTTTACTTCTGGCCAAACTGCAAAACAAACAGAACTTGAAATTATTTTAAGGAATAAATTAGGTTAACCTAAATCATATCTTTAAACTACATCTGTAAATGCTGGTAAAGACCTTATCCAAATTTGAATCAGGGACCTAGTTAGAAAGATTATTCTTCAATCAAGTAAAGTGTTTGTTGTTTTTTTACATTTGGGGCTTTGCCAAAGAGTGGGAAAAGCTACAGGGCTAAGGGTAACTGGTGAGGGTGCTGGGCAGCTGTCAGAGCATCTGGGTGCACTGTGCTACAATCATGCAACTATAGAAGTGATTTGGCCAAAATCCAGACAAACAGATTTTATTTCACAAGCTTTGTCTGTAAAAGGGATTTTTGAAGCAGTAGATGATGCTGTGTCAAAGCAGTAGTGAAAGTGGCTGATGAGAGGACAAGGGATGCAATGTTTTCATTCAGTTTCTTTCTAAAAACAAAACATGTGTGAGATTATTTATGGTAAAAGGGGAAAAAATGGGAATTTTAAATCCCTAAAAATGACACAATGTACAGTAGTCCAAAATAGAGTCAAAGATGCTGTGGTATTTTTACCCTAAAATAGGTGCAGGTCTAATGATTAATTACTCCCAGCTCTCTGCCTCTTCCATTATTGTGACTTTTCACACCTCCTCTCCTATATCTTAAACCACCTTTGACAGGAAATGAGAAGCCACCGCTCAGTGTGCTAAAAGGACTTCTCCAGTTCTTCCTGTTGGCTGTAATTTCAATAATTTTCTCTCACTCTTTATTCATGTGGATTTTTTCTATTTCTTTTTATGGTCCAGTAGAACGAAATCTGTACAGGCACAGAGAGAGACAAAACATTAAAGATTATCTGCAGTTTTCCCATGCAATGTTATGCAATACAAGACTCTCTCAGGGAAACTCATGCTGTTCTATGTGGGTATATACTACCTCCCAGTGGCTAGTAAAGGTACTGCATGTTCTGTTTGTTTATTACATTTTCACAGCTCTTTTTTTTTTTTTTACAGTGGATGTCAGTATTTAGAGGATGTGTGTTCATGTGATATGAAGGACAGCACTGTCCTTCAGGATAGTCTTAGGCTGCTACTACTACTAGTAATTAAAGCCACGATCAGTTTTCTTCTCACCAGTCAATGTTGTAGTGTTGAAGTGTTTCTGGGTTTCTTGTTCAGCAAATTTATCCACATAACCTGTTTCTTGCATTAAAGCCATGCTCCCATTAATGCTTTAGAAAAAATATTATTAAAAATACTTGTTGGTTTTAGCTTCACAAAAATGAGGGTTTGCTGTTATTCTCTGTTTATAATCATTATAAATTAAATGCTGTTGTGTTTTGGGCTGTTTGTCAGACAAAAGCTATTTTAAAGACATAACTTTGGGTTGGGGGGAATTGTAATGATATTTGTCAGCATTTTCTGATTTCAGTACAGTTAATGAAAGGTGTTATATGCAGTTAAAGCTAATAACAAGCCTTCAGCATAAGAACTCCATCAGCCCACAGACTTCTTGAAGTACAGCAGAAGATTAGCATAAGGGTCAAAGGCTGAGCAGGTCCCAGGAGCTACTTGTCACCACAGTGGGATGCTAATGTTTCCCATGAGTTGAGCAAACAGTAGCCACTGTAAAAACCAACTGCCACCTCTGACCCCTCTTACTTAAGTTACCCCTCTTTGCCACTATTGATCCTTCAGATTCCTCTGATTTTGAGGGTAAGTGTGAGAATTCTCTTCCAGATATTGGCATTTGAGGGAGTTTTTAACTTTTGTGTCCTAGTGTGAGTGAGAAAACCCATACAGAGCGCCAGTGAAATGGATCGTTAAAGACATCTATTGCCAGTGGTGGTGTGCACAGCTCAAAGGTTGCCCCATCTCTTCAGGACTCCCTCAGTCACACAGAAAGGACATCAACTGAATAACACTGACAAATGCAAGACGTCAGCTGGGACACATGTCAGGTAAGCAGCATCCATAATCAAACTGATTCAAGATTCAAGACTTTGTCGTATTATCTGTGACACTTTCATATCTTTGTGATCAAAGTAATTACCTTAATTTTGTTGATATTGGCTTTATTTCCTTATTGACTGGGGTCCCACAGACTCACAAAAGGATGGTCAAAAATGATTTTAAAAGGCAACTTAAAAAACATTTGTCTAACAAGTGCTGTTTTTTATAATCTTGTTCTGATCTGCTGTTATATTTCTTTGTGTCCTTTGACAGATAAAATGGAAGTACTCACACTCCTGCTAATGTGCCTCACGGCGTTTGGATATTCACACATATTGCAGCCAAGTAAGTATTTAACATTATATGAAAAGGGAGAATTTTGACTTGACTAATCCTGGTAATGACAATCCTGCAAACGACTGGTCAGAAACATGTGCAGATTAGTTAATGAGGCTTTAAAAGGGAATGCTTCCTGCCGCAATGCTAAATGACCCTAAATTACTGGTTTGCAACATGTTTTATATTATTGGTTTAAGAAAACTGCAAATTTTGTCAAATAAGTGACTATGCATACTCTAAGTGAACTGATAGGCTTTCTCTACTGTTGTACAGGATTGACTGTTATGCAGATAGTTGGGCTGGACAGAGAGCACCAGTCTGAGCTGGGAAGTGACCAGTTGAGAGATGTTACTTTATCAATGGAGGAGAAAGAAAATGAAGAGGAAAATACAGTTGCTGAGCCCACAGAAAGAAAGAAAACAGCAGAGGAACAAAAGAGTGAAGGGGTGCCTCTGGGGACAAACCCTGTGAGGAAGGTTGTCAAGAATGAAAAGACTGTTAAGGATAGAAAGGGAGAAGATGGGCTGACTCCAGAGACAGAAAGGAAAAAGGCAGAGGGGAAAGGTGGATACAAAATTACTAAAACTATAAATAAAGAAGAAACTCTGGACATAAATCAAGGATATCAAAAAGTAAGTGAGGAAAGGCTGACACCTAAAAAATTGTCTAAAGGTATTATTGTAGGAGTAGAAGCAAAAAGATCACAATACTCCATAGCTGAGACCATGGCAGATTTAGATACAAATAGAGAGGCTGAAGTAGAGAAGAGAGATGGTGGGCCAAATCTGGTTCCAAGCTCAACAACAGAGACAAATGAAGAGAGCAGGACAGTAAAAACAATGATGACAGACAACTCACATAACTGGAACATTGCAAAGCCTATCAAAAATCATAATAAATGGATACAGGAAGAAGAAAAGTATGAGACAAATGTGAATTTTATAAAAACCGATGGCATGGAAAAGCTGAAGCAGACAATAGTGCGGGAGGAGAGGGATGGCAAGCTGGTTGCAGGGGTTAGTCTTTATGGACAGACAAGAGGAGATAATCATGAGGATGAAGAGCTACTGAATTCAAAACAGGTAGTTGTAGAGGAAAGAAAAGAAAATGAGAAAGGAGAGAAAATGGCAGGGGGGGAGGACATAAAGAATGCATCCCACAGTGAATTAGTAGAAAGAGAAATGGAAGATCATATAGCAGTTAACAATTTCACACCTCCCTTAAGCACATCCTCTCCTCAAGGTGGGAAGGAAACAGAGATTCCTGCCACAATTCAAATTATAACCCTGTCCCCAAATCCTTCTAATTCCCCCACTTCTCCTCCTCTACACCATCTTAATCTACCTCCACCACTTTCAGTTACACCCACACCAGTTTCTCCAGGCTCTTCTCTCTCTCCCACCCCTTATGCCAAAGTTGACCTTCAGCTATTCCCTTTTTCTGTCACGCTTCCCAATCCTGCAGTGATTCCTGGAAAGGTCAGGCCTTTCTTTCTGCTTGAAGAATTCACTGAGGTGTCACAGAGTCCTGGACATCATCCTAAGCATAATGAATTGGAAGTGAAGTCTATAACAGAGTTAGAGGACATTATAGTAAACACAGTCATTCAACCAAACAAGAGTAAATTTACTACCAAGGTGCAATCAGCAACATCAAAACCCAAAGAACAAATGTTTATAGCCAAAGATGTAAAAACTAAAAAGACAACTCCTTCACCAAAATCAAAAGAAGGTATATCCTCTGCTATGCCGAACACAATACAGCCCACAGGCAAACCCAAAACAGTTGCACCGATGAAAAATGACACCAAAGTTATAGTGAAGCAAAACAAAACATCTCTTCACCAGCTACTACAGACTAAGCCTTCAGCCAAACCACAGCTGAGAACTGCCAAAACACCTTCAATGATGCCAAGGAAAATCAACAAAAGCAGCTACAATAAGACAATTAAGAAGTCCAAGGAAAAGAAAAGGAAAAGGGATAATAAAACTGTAAACCAATCACAGAAGAAGAAGAAGGAGGTCATCCCCGTGACAACACAACCACCTTACTTCATGGATAACTACTGTCCTCCTGAGTGTGCCTGCTATGGAAGGTAAGATATTAAGGATGCTGAATGATGTCATGAAAATCTGATTCACTTTATACAGTACTTAATGTTAGCATTACTACAGTACAATTCAACTCAATTCATCCATCCATCCATTATCTATACCACTTATCCTAGCCAGTCATTAGTGCCGACATGAATAACAACAGTACAGTATACTCAAACAAATTTCTATACTAAGTTATGGGTGTGAAAGAGAATGAGTGTACCTCTGCAAATGTCAGCCTTTTCCTGCCGGTGCAGTTCTATTGTTTTCATATGTATTATGGCATTAATTGGGAGAGTGCAACCTCAGTCTATGTTGTTTTCCAGAGTGGTCCAGTGCTCCGATAAAGGGGTAGATAAGGTTCCTTATGGCATTCCCTATAACGCCCGCTACATCCTCCTTATGAATAACCACATCAACAGCATCCAGGTGGACCTGCTCAGTGAGTATGTGTCTATGGAGTTCCTTGTGTTGAGCAACAATCAGCTCACAGATGGTGCCATAGAAGGAGCCTTTGAGGGGGTCCTGGCTCTGAAACGCCTCTACCTGGACAGGAACCTCCTAGAAGGTGTCCCAACTGACCTTCCAGTCTCTCTTGAGGAGCTTCGTCTGGACAATAATCAGCTGAATGTAATATCAGAGGTAGCTTGGGCCCAGTGCCCCCATCTCCTGGTTCTGAGCCTGAGCAACAACAGCCTGGGGAACGGGTCAGACTCTCTTCCTAATGCAGTGCTCTCTCCTCTGCGGAACCTGTGCATTCTGAACATGGACTATAACCAGTTAACATCAGTTCCTCTGGGCTTACCACTGTCCATTAAGGAGCTATACCTCAAAGGGAATTTCATTGAGCAATTCCATGGAGGAGTTTTCAATGGAATATCAGGGCTGGTGGTGTTAGATCTAAGTGCAAACAGACTGACAGACAAAGGTCTTGCTACGGATTCCTTCCTCAATGTAACTCACTTGGAAAGCCTCAACATGGAGGGGAACAAGCTAAAGCAAGTGCCACATCACCTTCCTCACTCACTAAAATCCTTAAATCTAGGAGGCAACTTCATATCTTCCATAAAGAAAGCAACTTTGAGGACCTTGACAAACCTGGAGCATCTAGGTTTGGCAAAGAATAAGATCTTCAAAGTTGCACCAGGTGCATTCAAGACATTGCCTGTCCTGCATGAGTTAGACCTGTGCCACAACAGCTTGTCTGAAGTGCCCAGACAGCTGCCGCAGGGTTTGCATTCAGTAGCTCTCACCCACAACAAGATTCAGTCTGTGCCTCGTGATGCTTTCTGCTGGAGTAAAAAAAATCGGAACCTCAGCAGGCTTGTACGAGTGCAGTTGGAACATAATTTAATTGACATGGGGATGTTGGATATGCAGGCGTTTAAATGCTTACGGGGCTTCCAGGTGGTGCACTTCTACTGAGCCTCAACCATTGAGGGAAAAGATAAAAAAGAATTGTGCTGCTAGGACTATTTAATGGGACTGACTAACCTGCTTTCTAAGTTGTATCCACGACGAATGCCATTTCTCTACCAGAAACTGAGCAAATGAGTAAATAAAATATTTATTGCATAAAAAATTCAGTGTCTTGTGTGTAGTCCAACAAAGCCTCATTCTTTTATTGCTGTAATGTATATTAAATATCCTCCCAACAACAGTTTTTCCCAACATGCCTCAATGGTTGCCAGGATATCTACAATCAAAATTATGTAACTGCTATACTTTAACTCATTAGGGACTGGTGGTTTTAGATATTTCCCAAAGTAGAACGACTCAGAATTTTCTGGCAACATTTGGTTTCCATTCAGTGCAGTAACTCTAAAAAAGTCACTTTGAAACTTGCATGAAATAGGTAATCAGAGACTAATTTATCATCTTTACTTTTTACATGTAAAGCCATAGCAACCATTCTCAACCAGTTGGGCCCAGTGGTGCGCCCCCTAGCGCCTTCTGGTGGTTTGTGGAGTAGTATTGCAAAGGGTTAGATTATTATTATTATTTATTTGTAAATTACAGAGCTATGTAGTTACTAAAATTGCTCAAGAATTCACATAATTTAAAAAAAAAGCCATCAAATTAAAACCCATCATTTCAATGACCAGTTACATTTGAAAATCATGACACCACTCATGACACATCATCAGGAAGTGACAAACGTGTTTTACCACTGTTAGCTAATTAGCCAGCCAACATTTCCTTGGCTGCAGTAACACAAAATGAATCAGTTTTTGAAATGAAAAAGTAATGTAGGAGTCAGTCCTGCACAAGTAAAAACTCCAAAGCATGTGGTTAGCAAATATGACCCTGATTGCATTAAATGCATACAATGAATACATTATTTTATGGTTTTTTCTCATTTATTGGTCAAGGTGGTCCCCAGAAATTTTTTAATAATCAAAAATTAAGTTACAAAAGGTTGTGAACCCCTGGTCTGTGGTACACCTGAGTAAACAGCTGCCAAAAGTAATGTATGTTTGATTTGACAGAAATTTCTATTTTAAAAAGCACTTATAATAAGCAGACGTGGAAAGGTGAACCTTTTCACTTTCAGCAGTGCAATGAATCAGAGTTTTGCCCATTGCCCAATTGTTTTCTTCAAGAGAAAAGACCAGCAAGTCATCTGAGTGTTATACACTGTATAACACATGGAGCAGGTGAGGATAAGTGAACATGCAATCAACATGAAAATATTAACTTAGTCCACAGAGCCTACATCCATACAATATGTCCACAATGAAGAAACTATAATAAATGCAAAATAGAAAATCACAGAGAGAAAAAAACATACAGTATAGTAGAATCATCTTTAGAAAGATACAGTTTGTTAGCTAAGCAATATACTTAAGAATACAATAAAATATAAGAATAATTGTATAAGAATATACAAAATAATACAGAAATTCCTCCCAGTCGTACATTATATGTAAGGTTAAGTAAAGAAATGGCAAAGATTTGTCCTCGAAGAGCTTTTAAGTGAATGTGTTAAATGTTCAATACAGAAAATCTTTGTGGACATTTCCCTGTTCATGTTGATCGCCCTATGAGCCCACCGATTGGAATCACCTGTCCTTTACTTTATGTGTTGCTCAGATGTTGTTGTTTTTTTGTTTTTTTTTTCCAATTTACAGCTCTTATTTAAAGTGCTACTCTCCCATGTCCCATCTCCCATTTCTTGGTCACTTGCTTTTTCTCACTATCCTTTTTTTTTAAATTGATACAAAGTAACACATGAACAAAACAGTACCGAACATGGGAGACAAGACAACAGTTACATGACATTACAAAAGGATATAGAGTGTTTAACGAGGTTGTAGTGTGTGAAGTGTGGGTATTTCCAACTTATGCAGTCTATGAAATGCAAGAAAGGGAAAAGGGGGGGAAGTTAAAAAAAAATACCAATAATAATGATAACAGTACTATTAAAAAATCAGCTTCTTACATTTCTAGAGGTTGGTGGGAATGTGCATGGCCTCAGCCCCAGGTATTTGATTCAAGTTGAAATGTGTTAAAAATGGGTTCCATGTGTCAT